GCATGTATACGATGATGTGTGCACACGCATTTTAAACAATTGCCGTAACAAATATTATTACAAAGTAATTTTTTACGTTGATAACGGAATCACGTCAGTCAATATCTAAACACTTGTTTCCGGTTTCGGTGATGCGTGCGCATCCAAGATGACGGCATCTCCGTTTCCTGTGGCGCGCGCATTCAAGATGGCGGCATTTCCGTTTCCGGGAGGCGTGCGCATCTCCAAGAGGACGTCACATCCGTTTCCGGGGAGGAGGGGACCATAAAAAGCGCTCGTAAAATATAAAAATATCCAAATTGAAAGAAGCGCCCGTAAAATCCTTTTTGTTCAAGTGGTGGCGGTGGAGGAAGGTTGCGGCGGCGGCGGCGAAGGGGGAGGGGAGGGCGGCGGCAGTGGCGGTGGCGCCGGCGGCAGCGGTTGAGGGGGAGGAGGGAGGAGGAGGTGGTAGGTTCTTTGTTTTGGTCTGAGGGTCGTCAAAGCCATGGACGAACGTGTTCTTTCGGGAGAGATGGGTGGCCCTGAAAAGGGCCGTTTTGGAGAAGAAGATTACTTCTTCCCCCACATAGGTGCTGTGGTGCAAAGGCACGGATGGCCTGCCACCTGTCTCCTGACAGGACACTTACTGGTGTAGCGATTGCATGTGGAGATGATAGATCACTGAGACGAGCTTATAATACACAGTCAACGACCCAGCAACTTTGTTGCTAGGTTGACGTCATATCGGCGAAGGATCTTGCAACAAAATTCCACAAATCATGTCATCGGGTATTATGATGTGATTGTAAACTTTGAGGTGCAAGGTCTCGTTCCACAAGGCGATCGTGTATTGTAGCGCAATGACAGTCGTTCGTCTAAGTTACACCTTAGCGCTACGATCATGTTGTGGAACGGACGTCTGAATTCTAAAGGTGAATCGACATGCGCAGACATTAACGTGATGTAGGTAGACTCTATATGCCTACGTGATGTATTTCGTGTCTCCATGCAAACGTTTATCAATATGATTATGTCGTTGTAACACGCTCATCCATGCCGAGGTCCTGGCACTCGTGTATCCCACGTACTGTCACGCGTGTCTCCATGCAAACGTGATGTCACTCGTGACTACAAACAGACGTTTATCAATATGATTATGACAGCGCCCACCAGTCAGTGTCCTGTCAGGAGACAGGTGGGAGGCCACAGCACCTATGTGGGTGAAGAAGTAATCTTTTTCTTCTCCAAAACGGCCCTTTTCAGGGCCACCAATCTCTCCCGAAAGAACGCGTTCATCCACTGCTTTGACTACCCTCAAACCAAAACAAAGAAGCCACCACCTCCCTCCACCACCAGCACCACCACCACCACCTCCCAAAACAAAGAACCCACCACCTCCCTCCACCACCAGCACCTCCCAAAGCAAAGAACCCACGACCTCCCTCCACCACCACCACCTCCCAAAACAAAGAACCCACCACCTCCCTCCACCATCAGCACCTCCAAAAACAAAGAACCCACCACCTCCCTCCACCACCAGCACCTCCCAAAGCAAAGAACCCACGACCTCCCTCCACCACCATCACCACCACCAGCACCTCCCAAAACAAAGAACCCACCACCTCCCTCCACCACCACCACCACCATCAGCACCTCCCAAAACAAAGAACCCACCACCTCCCTCCACCACCATCACCACCACCAGCACCTCCCAAAACAAAGAACCCACTACCTCCCTCCACCACCACCACCACCACCACCAGGACCTCCCAAAACAAAGAACCCACTACCTCCCTCCACCACCACCACCACCATCAGCACCTCCCAAAACAAAGAACCCACCACCTCCCTCCACCACCACCACCACCACCACCACCACCACCACCAGCACCTCCCAAAACAAAGAACCCACCACCTCCCTCCACCACCACCACCACCATCAGCACCTCCCAAAACAAAGAACCCACCACCTCCCTCCACCACCACCACCACCACCACCACCAGCACCTCCCAAAACAAAGAACCCACCACCTCCCTCCACCACCAGCACCACCACCAGCACCACCACCACCACCACCATCACCTCCCAAAACAAAGAATCCACCACCTCCCTCCACCACCAGCACCTCCACCAGCACCTCCCAAAACAAAGAACCCACCACCTCCCTCCACCACCACCACCACCACCATCAGCACCTCCCAAAACAAAGAACCCACCACCTCCCTCCACCACCACCACCACCACCATCAGCACCTCCCAAAACAAAGAACCCACCACCTCCCTTCACCACCACCACCACCACCACCATCAGCACCTCCCAAAACAAAGAACCCACCACCTCCCTCCACCACCACCACCACCACCATCAGCACCTCCCAAAACAAAGAACCCACCACCTCCCTCCACCACCACCACCACCACCAGCACCTCCCAAAACAAAGAACCCACCACCTCCCTCCACCACCACCACCACCACCACCATCAGCACCTCCCAAAACAAAGAACCCACCACCTCCCTCCACCACCACCACCACCACCACCACCATCAGCACCTCCCAAAACAAAGAACCCACCACCTCCCTCCACCACCACCACCACCACCACCACCATCAGCACCACCACCACCACCACCACCACCAGCACCTCCCAAAGCAAAGAACCCACCACCTCCCTCCACCACCACCACCACCACCACCACCACCAGCACCTCCCAAAACAAAGAACCCACCACCTCCCTCCACCACCACCACCACCACCACCAGCACCTCCCAAAACAAAGAACCCACCACCTCCCTCCACCACCACCACCACCACCACCACCTCCCAAAACAAAGAACCCACCACCTCCCTCCACCACCACCACCACCACCACCAGCACCTCCCAAAGCAAAGAACCCACCACCTCCCTCCTCCACCACCACCACCACCACCATCAGCACCTCCCAAAACAAAGAACCCACCACCTCCCACCACCACCACCACCACCACCACCACCAGCACCTCCCAAAACAAAGAACCCACCACCTCCCACCACCACCACCATGATGGAGGCTCGGGTGTACAGTATTTATATGTCATGTGTTTACTGATAAGGGCTCAGGTGTATAGTGTTTTGGTGTTATGCGTTTACTGAATACTGAAGGCTCGGGTGTTCAGTGTTTAGGTGTCAGGTGTTTACTGATAAAGGGTCGGACGTACAGTGTTTAGGTGTTATGTGTTTACTGATAAAGGGTCGGACGTACAGTATTTAGGTGTTATGTGTTTACTGATAAGGGCTCAGGTGCACAGTGTTTAGGTGTTACGCGTTTACTGATGAAGGGTCAGGAGTACAGTGTTTAGGTGCTAGGGGATTGAACAGGCAACTTTATTGCCATGTGTGGATGTTACGCTTGCATTATGCTAATACTTACAGTTTAACTGTAGAAATGATTTTGTAGCTCATGACATATTTGCGCAAAGGATCAGGAACGTATATGGGTAACCCCTTCACTTCGACCAGGGTCCCGTTCCCCAAAGCGACCTTAGTGCTAAGACTGACGTATGTCTGTGTTAAAGTATGGGAGTTACGGGCTCCTGATCATTACATCAATACAAGCAGGGAGACAACGCGTCATAAATACCTTACGGCATGTCAGCTTTAGGCGGGAGGAAAGCCCGATGTGATTCAGGCCTCAGACTTTTACCACTTTGGTGAAACCCACAAGAACGAGTGGTGCTGATAAACCTAGACACATATTCCGAGCAAACCGGGATTCGAACTAACAATCATATGTTCCTGGTGTGTCCAAGGGACACATCTCTGCACGTACAATAATAACTTCACAATGTGCCTATTTATTTATTCATTCACACGCACAAATCGGAAAACAACCATACGAAATCAGTGCAACAATGCAACACAAGCTCCGCCCGATCCGTTATCAGCCAATCATAAACCAGTAGGTGTTTTTCGTTAATGGGCGCAAAAACGCAAAGCCAGATGCTTGAGGAGCTAGTTTAACGCCTCACTCAGCAATATTCTAGCTATATGACAGCGGTCTGTAAATAATCGAGTCTGGACCAGACAATCCAGTGATAGACATCATGAGCATCGATTCGCGCAATTGGGATCGATGACGTGCATCAAGCAAGTCAGCGAGCCTGACCACCCGATCCCGTTCGTCGCCTCTCACTTGTCGTCTTTTATGGCAAGCATGGGTTGCTAAAGTTCTATTCTACCCCGGATCTTCACAGGTCACATTCACATGTACGCACGCACGCACGCTCGCACGCACGCACGCATGCACGCACGCACGCACGCACGCACGCACGCACGCACGCACGCACGCACGCACGCACGCACGCACGCACGCCCGATAAGGCTTTATCTCGCTTTTGCCAAATAAGAAAGCATTTACTGAACTAAACTAAGATTAAAGCATATTTTACAGGACGATACTACTGGTGATGTTATAACTTCTACAATTTCGACCCGTGAAGATTATGGAGTAGAATAGGTTTTCAGCAACCCATGCTTGCCATAAAAGGTGACTATGCTTGTCGTAAAAGGCGACAAACGGGATCGGGTGGTCAGGCTCGCTGACTTGGTTCATGCATGTCATCGATCCCAATTGCGTGGATCGATGCTCATGATATTATTCACTGGATTGTCTGGTCCAGACTCGATTATTTACAGACCGCCGTCACATACCTGGAATATTGCTGAGTGCGGCGATAAACAACAAACCAACCAACCAACTTCTACAATTTCGCACTCTATTGATTTTTGTGATGTGTCTACGTACATTATCCAGATCCAACAGAGTACAATTAAATCTGGTTATTGAAGTGTAATCCGCATGTCAAGTCCAATCAGCAAGAACTAATTGAAATACTGCTACCACCTGGAACATGTGACCTGGCTCCTGACCAACTACCCCAAGGGACACAGCAGGTGCGTGTGAGCCCATAGGTCCGTTTTAAACAGATTCAATCACAGTACTTGGCTAAGTCCCCAACCCATTTAGCATTCGGCAAACAACGAGACAAATGGCGTGTTGGCAACTTGTTATCCTAGCTGCTGTGACAGGTAACATCACATTGATACTGTATAATTAACATATCATGAATTTCAGTCTGCATACACATTTTGATGTAGATCTTGATGCGTGATGCCCAACGTGCATGTTATATAACACATAGCAATGTGTACACAACTGATGATGAACGTGTATGTTGTGTAACACATATATCAATGTCCACATTGCTGGTGGTGAACCTGCGTGTTATATAACACATATGTCAATGTCTACACAACTGATGGTGAACCTGCATGTTATATAACATATATGTCAATGTCCACACTGCTGATGGTGAACCTGCATGTTTATAACACATATTTCAATGTGTACACTGCTGATGGTGATACTGCATGATATAACACATATTTCAATGTGTACACTGCTGATGGTGAAGCCTGCATGTTATGTAACACATATATCAATGTCCACATTGCTGGTGGTGAACATGCGTGTTATATAACACATATGTCAATGTCTACACAACTGATGGTGAACCTGCATGTTATATAACATATATGTCAATGTCCACACTGCTGATGGTGAACCTGCATGTTTATAACACATATTTCAATGTGTACACTGCTGATGGTGAACCTGCGTGTTATATAACATATATGTCAATGTCCACACTGCTGATGGTGAACCTGCGTGTTATATAACATATATGTCAATGTCCACACTGCTGATGGTGAACCTGCATGTTATATAACATATATATCAATGTGTACACTGATGATGGTGAACCTGCGTGTTATATAACACATATTTCAATGTGTACACTGCTGATGGTGAACCTGCGTGTTATATAACACATATGTCAATGTCTACACAACTGATGGTGAACCTGCATGTTATATAACACATATGTCAATGTGTACACTGCTGATGGTGAACCTGCGTGTTATATAACACATATTTCAATGTGTACACTGCTGATGGTGAACCTGCGTGTTATATAACACATATTTCAATGTGTACACTGCTGATGGTGAACCTGCGTGTTATATAACACATATGTCAATGTCTACACAACTGATGGTTAACCTGCATGTTATATAACACATATGTCAATGTGTACACTGCTGATGGTGAACCTGCGTGTTATATAACACATATTTCAATGTGTACACTGCTGATGGTGAACCTGCGTGTTATATAACACATATTCCAATGTGTACACTGCTGATGGTGAACCTGCATGTTATATAACATATATGTCAATGTCCACACTGCTGATGGTGAACCTACATGTTATATCAAAGATAAAATATTGTGTACACTGCTGAAGGTGAACCTGCATGTTTTAACATATATATCAATGTCTACACTGCTGATGTTGAACCTACATGTTATATAAAAGATATAATAATTTGTACACTGCTGGTGGTGAACCTGCATGTTATATAACATATATGTCAATGTCTACACTGCTGATGGTGAATCTGCATGTTTCACAACACATACATCAAAGTCTACACTGCTGATGCTGACCGTGCTTGTTATATAAAAGATATAACAATGTCTACACTGTGATGACGAACCTGCACGTTTCACAACGCATAAATCAATGTGTACACTGCTGACGATGATCGTGCTTGTTATATAACAGATATAACAATGTCTACACTGTGATGACGAACCTCCACGATTCCCAACGCATACATCAATGTGTACACTGCTGATGATGATCGTGCTTGTTATATAACAGATATAACAATGTCTACACTGTGATGACGAACCTGCACGTTCCACAACGCATACATCAATGTGTACACTGCTGACGATGATCGTGCTTGTTATATAACAGATATAACAATGTCTACACTGTGATGACAAACCTCCACGATTCCCAACGCATACATCAATGTGTACACTGCTGATGATGATCGTGCTTGTTATATAACAGATATAACAATGTCTACACTGTGATGACAAACCTCCACGATTCCCAACGCATACATCAATGTGTACACTGCTGATGATGATCGTGCTTGTTATATAACAGATATAACAATGTCTACACTGTCATGGCAAACCTGCACGTTTCACAACGCATAAACCAATGTGTACACTGCTGACGATGATCGTGCTTGTTATATAACAGATATAACAATGTCTACACTGTGATGACGAACCTGCACGTTTCACAACGCATAAATCCATGTGTACACTGCTGACGATGATCGTGCTTGTTTCAGCAGCACATGCTTCCACGGTGATGGAGAAGAGAATAATAGGCGGCTCGAAGGTTGTGCTCGGGGAGTTTGGGTTTGCTGGAAGCTTGCAGCAGTTCCTCGACGGGGAGTGGACTCATGTCTGTGGGTGCACCAGAAAACTCTCGAACGTATTTGTGTCAGCAGCACACTGCACGAATGGAAGGTGATAATTTGTTGATAGCTAAAGCCGAGAAGGTTCTCAAACTCTCACTCACTGTTGTAGATACGTATATGGTAAGGTCAAATACAGAATGTGCTCAATCTCTCACTCACTGTTGAAGATACATATGTTGTAAGGTCAAATACAGAATGTGCTCAATCTCTCACTCACTGTTGTAGATACATATGTTGTACAGGTGGATTTCTTATGGTTCTGGACAGGATGTTGATGTTGTCATAACTTGTTTCATAAAGTACCTATTTTTCATGTTGAAGTGATATCAGCACCTTCAGGGCGGTATTTGATACTTTAGATTTGACGGATCTCTCACCTCCAGCGCAGATAACATCCATCACATCGACCTATGTGGTAAGTCAATACCTAGGATAGAGATACTTGAAGAAAAAAGGCATCAGTTCCTGGAACAGTTGGACAATTGATAACTCAGATTGTAATACGGTTAATGAATACAGGTTTATATGCAGTCGAATAAGAATATAAAAAAACTTGGTGCTCGCTACCGCTGCACAAAGCTACGAGGACATCCCGTTACAGGTCACGTCAGAACGACTCCTCGCGAGCTTTGACTGGTCAATGAAATGGCAAAAAATGATTTCTACATTACCCAGCACCAAACAGCCTTACTCGAGCTTTACGGTATTACTTTCAAAATGATGACTTCAACTCAAGTTGCCTTCAAAGATAATTTGATTCAACTCATAATTTTAGAACGGAACAAAAGAAAATTCTGTAATGTCTAACACATTACACCTGTACGTCTCACCGACTATAAGAGGTCTGTTCGGTTTCAGATGTTTCTCCCGAGTAAGCAGGGTAGAGACTATATATGCTTTTGACAAGAGGCTTATTGTTCAGAAACACATTCGGGCTTCGTTTTGATTGGTCGATTGAAAGGTTATTCTAACATGACAGGTAATATGACGTCCTCAGATCTTTGCGTTGCAGTTGCGAGCACTAACATCAGGTTGTAACGATATTGCTTTACATGTAAAATATGCCTCATATTAACAAGACACATCACTCTGTGTATGTGTAGTCTGCACTGGAACAGGATGACTCCCTTCTTGATGGCCTATATTTACAATTCAGTGGTTGTTGAGAGCGTCAAACCTTTTGTAGTCGAAAAGATAATATTTGAATATGATATGGTTTTCAAACACGAATGCACATATTATAACGTGCGATTACGAATTGAAATACTTTACATTTGTTTTAGCTTGGATCTTTCACTCGGAATGGCCCTGGATACAAGCTTGACTACTCCGAGTTAAACGTGGTCAACAGCAACATCACCATCCCTGGCTCCCAGGACTTCCTCCTCAATAACGTTACCGTCACAAACCTAACTGGGGAACAATGCAGCATCGTGGGCTTCGGAGAAGGCAAAAGTACGCATTTTCAAAATATGAGACGTCTAAAAATGCGTAAATGACCACAGTGATTGCTATGAATACAGTCAAAGCCCCTAAACATTTCCATTCTTTATAACAAAAGATATTCCCCAAAACAAAATATCGATGACACTGCATCGAATCATTGACTTAATTGTTGTATTGCTCTAGCAATATCCTCACACTGTTGCAAAAGTGGAGATCAATTTGTTTTTCCACCTGTTTTCCCAAAGGCCATATTACAGTATTTTTCGTGCTTCGTCAATGGTATTTTCTTTATAATATTAAATTGAGGTTTGCATCATTTTCTTATGGTGCAACATCAATGATTCAGCTTCACATACATATGTTCTATTAACTAAAGTTAACTAAATTTCTAGTAACACAAATACTACAACGTGAATTGTTTTACTCTTGCAATTTCTACAAAGGTAACTAATACTACATTTATATGTGAATTATGTTACTGAAGCTTGTTGATTTATTCAAACAAAGTGGAAATAGTTACACTTCCATCAAGCAGTCCGATAAAACAAATACTACATAATAACACATTATAATTATAGCTAATGCTTTGATGAAAGTCACTAAACACATTGGAACAATTATTTTATTGAATTTGAATCCTTTAAAAAGGACTCATGTGTAGTGATTGGCGTTTTGTTTGTAGTGTCTATCCTTTGAGAATAAAATATCAGCTGTTACCAAATCACAGTATCAAGACATTACCAAACTGTCATATATAACTGACAGTTCTAAATCATGACATCAATCTACAGTAAATATAACTAACAGTTCTCAATCATGCCATCAATCTACAGTAAATATAACTAACAGTTCTCAATCATGCCATCAATCTACAGTAAATATAACTAACAGTTCTCAATCATGCCATCAATCTACAGTAAATATAACTAACAGTTCTCAATCATGACATCAATCTACAGTAAATATAACTAACAGTTCTCAATCATGCCATTAATCTACAGTAAACATAACTAACAGTTCTCAATCCTGACAAAAATCTACAGTTAACATAACTAAAAGTTCTCAATCATGCCATCAATCTACAGTAAATATAACTAACAGTTCTCAATCATGCCATCAATCTACAGTAAACATAACTAACAGTTCTCAATCATGCCCTCAATCTACAGTAAATATAACCTACAGTTCTCAATCATGACATCAATCTACAGAAAATATAACTAACAGTTCTCAATCATGCTAAAAATCTACAATAAACATAACTAACAGTTCTCAATCATGCCATCAATCTACAGTAAAAATAACTAACAGTTCCGAATCATGCCATCAATCTACAGTAAATATAACCTACAGTTCTCAATCATGCCATCAATCTACAGTAAACATAACTAACAGTTCTCAATCAAGACATCAATCTACAGTTAACATAACTAACAGATCTTAATCATGCCATCAATCTACAGTTAACATAACTAACAGTTCTCAATCATGCCATCAATCTACAGTAAACATAACTAACAGTTCTCAATCAAGACATCAATCTACAGTTAACATAACTAACAGTTCTCAATCATGCCCTCAATCTACAGTAAATATAACCTACAGTTCTCAATCATGACATCAATCTACAGAAAATATAACTAACAGTTCTCAATCATGCAATCAATCTACAGTAAACATAACTAACAGTTCTCAATCATGCCATCAATCTACAGTTAACATTACTAACAGTTCTCAATCATGCCATCAATCTACAGTAAATATAACTAACAGTTCTCAATCATGCCATCAATCTGCAGGAAACATAACTAACAGTTCTCAATCATGCCGTTAATCCACATTAAATGTACTGTATCATGCCATCAATCACATAAACTGTAACCAACATACTGTATGAAGTCATTTACCGATGTTAACTGTTATAACCGGAATCCCCACAAACTGTAACTAACTGCACTGTGCAAAGTCATTTACCAAAAGATTACTTATATTAATCGTACTGTATCAAGTCATCAATACATAATAAATGTAAATGTATGTGTTGTATCAAATTATTAATCCACAATAACTGTAACTAATTGTACTGCGTCAAGTCTCTAGACCACAATAACTGTTGCCAACTTCTGTATCAGGTCATTAACCCACAATAACTTTAACTGTTTATATTGCAATAGCAATGACTACTTTAGTCCTAAATAACACACCTACATCAACCCTCAATAATGTTGCCACTGACACGCCTCAATAACGCCTACATTGTTTCTCGCCCCAAAGCAACAAAACCAGCATTACTAAAAAAATAACCCCATTAATCCTCAAAACGTTTTTCTTCACCAGAAGCTGATATCCCTTTAGTTACTGGCGATCTCTAGCTCATTTTTATCTTGTGTTGTTCAATAATACTTATGACTTTTATATATTCTCAACTCGTTTTAAATAGTCAATGTGATATTCTAGTTATTGTACTGTCCATCGTTGACAGCTTTTTACATTGTATAAATATATGTATTATTAATGTACTTCTCGTCACGATATGGCCGAAATACTGCAGATGTGAAGTTAAATCTTAACTCACTCACTCACTCACTCACTCACTCACTCACTCACTCACTCACTCACTCACTCACCAGAGGCTGTGATCATCTTGCTTTCATTTCCAGTGTTGATGTCGAAAACCGTGACTGTCATCAGCACAGCAGAGTGTGTGCAACGACTAACGGGAACTGGTGCGACGATCACGGAGAGGGACGAGATCTGTATCGATGGTCACTCCATCACCGCAGTAAGGATTGGTTTTATCAATGGGACTTTGCCCAGGACACGTATGGTTGCCTCTTACAATGGGCTATATAAAGATCAAACACAACATGAACAGGTCGCACAGTCGTGCATTAAACCAAGATTGCTTCTGTGACCTGACGTGTGGAGAGTAATTGACGGAGTTGCCACTTGGATGTGATTTTGTCATTTTGAAATCTGGCAATATTTGCTCACATATCTGCAATAAGGGGCACAGGTTGACCAGTCGTCTAAGGTGCCGCGATTCGCTGTGCAGTGTTGCGTCCCTTGGGCACGCCAGAAACCTATGATTGTGGGTTCGAATCCCGGTTCGCCCCGATTATGTTTCTAGGTTTGTCAGCACCATACCCGTGCTCGTGGGTTTCACCGAAATGGTAAACGTCTGTGACCTGCATCACTTCGGGCTTTCCTCCCACATTAAGCTGACACGCCGTGATATGACGGCGTTAAACCCAACTCACTCACTCACTCACTCACTCACTGGAATTAATTTACTCGCACAACACATTATTTGTAAGGAAAAGTAACCATTGACGGTTTTGAAGCATGAAACGTTTTTAGTACAGAGAACACACTGTTATTCACATGCTTGTATTCCCTACAGGGTGACAGCGGAACTTCTTTAGTGTGTGGAGGGGAGTTTGTCGGCGTTGCCTCGTGGTCCTATGTTCCATGTCCAGGAACAAGTGTCTTTGTCAGACTCAGCAGTCCTATACTTGACGACTGACAGACCGCTGCAACATAGTCATGATTTACCGCATCTGAACCATGTAAAAATAAACATAGCCAACTGTCATATGTTGTGTTAAATATGGACTACACCTTCGCTGTAACGCTACCCCCCCCCCCCCCCCCCCCCCCCCCCCCCCCCCAACCCACCCCAATCCCACACTCCAATGTCAACACCATCTATAATGCCCAGGCCTTCACCTCCACTGTAACATTAGCATCCGCCACTACACACGACCCAATCACATACTCCCATGTCAACACCATCTATAATGCCCAGGCCTTCTCCTACGCTGTATCATTAACACCCGCCACTACACACGCACATGTCACCTCTCATACAGCCACCGAGACCTAATCACACACTTCCATGTCAACACCATCTATAATGCCCAGGCCTTCACCGACGCTGTAACATTAACACCCGCCACAACACACGCAAATGTCATCGGTTGTACAGCCACCGAGACCCAATCACATACTCCCATGTCAACACCATCTATAATGCCCAGGCCTTCACCTACGCTGTAACATTAACACCCGACCACATGATAAACGGTTTACACGAATATTGCTAAACATGATATTTAACAAAATGTAATGGGTTAAAGAGAGTGAATTTACATAATCAGGATATGTTATGGCTCAACTTCCACATCACCGCTTATATTAGATGGTACTGCATTGCAGGAGACAACTATTTATTGTCAAAACACAATGATGTGAGCTTCTAATAAAACAGAGACAGTTTATGATTTGACTATGACTGTGTGTATACAATACATAGAACTGCATAATCCACACACACACACGCACGCACGCACGCACGCACGCACGCACGCACGCACGCACGCACGCACGCACGCACACCTCAGGGGGGTCAGCAAGTGTGGCTTCACATAAACATGTCTCATTTAAATAACATCAGGATGGGCGCATGACTTGATGCACAGTGTAGATGTTTACCAGGTTAATGAAATGTGAGAACATGGGAATGGTACTCGCACACCAATGGCTTATAATAACAAGTATTTAGGACTATAACAGGACTACAACACAAGATTCCACACCATGAATGGGCATGCTCGAAGTGCTTTACATAAGTACCCAATCATCTAACCAGCGTGAATTTAAAATGGAATTTCCAGCCCCATGGGGATTATTGAACCCAAACGAGGCTATAATCGTCATTTAGGTCAATGAACAGATATGGAAGTACCAAACCTAAGGCACCGAGAAGAATTGTGGAGTCGGACAACTTGGTACATATTTGCATGTTTTTCCTGAATTTTGTTAAGCACATTAGTGTCAAAAGGGACAGATAATTCAATGAAGCGTCGTTCCTCTTTACCTGCTGTTATTGTAAGTGTATGGGTGAGCGAGTACAACTCTTGTCGTCTACCTTGTAAAGCTTCACTATGCCAGGGTTGTAACCATGCATGAGTGATTTCTAAAGGGCTCGGTGTAATTCGTGCACCCAGTGACCTGTTAGGGAGAGATAGATTTGTACCATATTCACACGCGTGAGTCCTAACGAGGGACAGGTCAACCGACATTGCTGTGGCAGAAACATGTAAACACTTAAACTCTTAAAGCAACGAACAAGTCAGTCAATACTATGATCAGTTATGGCGAATGCAATAGTACAGTTATCTCTCCTCCCTAAACTTTATGGTGGAAGATGTTTGTGTCACTCACCTGCTTCAACAAGCCCGTTCACAGACCACGCCAGTACCACCATCTGCGCTGCATAATATTTGTTGAGTGCATTTTAAATACAAAGATATATAAATGATGCAATAAAATGTAAATGGCTGTTTGTTTTAATATTGTGCGCCTCTGTTAACAGTACAATTAGTTGATCAACATGCCTACCTTGTCTTACCAGCAAAGTCACTCATCCTTGACTATATCTGGGTTGTTTACTTGCTACTGTTCACCTGTTTTTAAAATATAGACGAAGCAGGTTTATACCACAATGTATGAAGGAGCCTTTCTACTTGGTAACCTGTGAAATTATATAATATTAACAAAAACTCTGCTCACCCATGTCGTCAGTCATAAATTATCCGTGCTATTCAGACCTCAATGTGTTTTGTCAAGTCTGGGTAGGGTTTCATCCTGGCGTCTACCTACTTTAACAGGCCATACACAAGGCTTAGCTTCAGTGAAGGTGGAAACAACACACAGGACATGTCGACACTAGAAGAGGCCAAGAAGGAGATTGTCAAATATGATTATGTTCGGTTTTCCCTGTGTGACTTGAATGGTGAACACCGTGGTCAAGTTGTCGCTGGCCGTCATGCTGCCAAGTACCTAGAAGAAGGGATTGATATACCTCAAGGTAAACCGTCATAATTTACTCGTTCCGATTCTCATGTGGACCATACAGAGAAATAAAACTGAGCGAAAGTCAAAGCTCTGTTTAAAGATTAACAGCCAAAACGTCAAATTAAGGTGCAATTCTTGATAAGTGTGCGAGGTTAGACTTGTACGTCAGTTAATCATAACAATGCATGTGTCCTTGAATGAAATCATCTTTTATATTCAAAAGATTATATATTCTATATATGTCTGTTATTTTTGTACCCATTTTTTTCACTAGTAAATTAATTTATGTCTTCATACTTGTGTAAATAACACATCAAATAATATCAATCTCTGTGAATATTTTTACCAGTAGAGTGCCAACTCTGTTTATTTAAAGTTATGAAAGTTTCTCCCCAAAACTAATTTACTAACAATATTTAGAACAATCTCTTTAACATTTTTGAGAATTGTCCTAATTAATTTTCTGACGTGTTATTTAATATGAAAATAGCATCTTCTGAAACAAAGTTGAGACTTACTGATATGTCAACATGAACACAGATGAACACCCACCTGTTAACATGTAACCGGACCGGTGAAAGGCATAGCTGTATAACAGTGCGAATACACGGATTCTCCACCAATTGAAACAGTCTGTTTTAAGGGACCTTTTATGCCTAGAACTGAAGTAGATATATTTGATTTTGATCAAACTTGAAGAAAAATATAATGATGTTTGCACTGTTATAGCAGTAAGGGCACATGTTGAATTATTTATTCATTTAAGGAGTAAGGAGGTAAGGTGGAATGGGTTTAAACGTCAATTTCAAGATTATTGCACTTATATATAGTGACATGCATGCACGTTTGTGTATGTTGTGTGGCTGCTTGTACTAGTTCAGACTAATGCCGACTTTACAGTGCCAGACAACTAAGATCCCATGTCGCAGTTTAACATGAATATTCCACTCAGACACAGTATACTGACTCCAAGCGAACAAGTCCTTGTTTAATCCCCTAAGTGCCGAGTGTCAGGCAGGGTTACAACAAGTTGTTGGTTGGTTGGTTGGCTGGTTGGCTGGTTGTTTTACACCACACTCAGTAATATTCCAGCTATATGACGGTGGTCTGTACATAATAGGTATGGACCAGACAGTCCAGTGATTGACATTGTTGAGCATCTATCCACAAAATTGGGATCGATGACATGCTTCAACCAAGTCAGTGAGCCTGACCAGCCGATCCCGTTAGTGGCCTCTTACGACAAGCATAGTCGCCTTTTACGGCAAGCATTGGTTGCTGAAGAGCTATTCTACCCCGGATCTAAACGGGTCGGTTACAACAAGTACCATCTTTTAACAGTTGTGTATGTCACAGCCGGGGATCGAACCTCCGACCTTTTGCTCTCCATGTGGACGTCCCACCTTCAGACCAGGATAGTTTGTAAACTCAAAGTGATGAGTATTATCAAAATACGTCAATTCAGCAGTCCATTGATACAGTAGGATCGATATCTGAGCATGGAGCTTATAAAGTTAATATGTATTCACCTTACAATTACATTGTCTTAATGAGGTCTCCTATTTCTTTCAATATAAATATATATATATATATATATATATATATATATATATATATATATATGAATAGATCAGACTGTTTCACACAAAACGAAAATGATCCAGTTGCTGTGTAAAAATATAAAGTCTAAACCAGTGTTGTTGCCACCGGTGGGGCTGGTACAATGACTCTTGATAGTTATATATTAACACATGCGTATGACAGTTTACTTTCAGCAGATGATTTTTGAAAGCGTTTGACGTATTTTCATAGGTAAGGTATGGTTTTGTTAGATGACTTGTTAACAGGGATTAGAAGAACGTTAAAGAGTTGCTGGTGAATAGGAAATGCCGGTGCCAGGGTCCCGGGCTGCCACGTTTCTGTTAACCGTTTCATAGGGCAGTGTTGCAGAGAATGTGATTGGGAGTCAACTACAAGAGAAATGTTTGGGCCAAGACATAAAAACTGGACACAGCTGTGTTGCAAAGCGAACATACAATGTAGTTCTGAAACGTTTTTCTTACCTATAAGTAGCAGAATCTCTGCATTTGTACACAGCACACGTAATTCAGAATTAACATATCATGTCTTGTCACTGGAGTTTCTGCTCAATAGATCACTTCATTGTCTTCTTTGTTTACAGGCCACCGTTGCATGACGGAGTACTGCTGTGCGGCGTCAGGCTATAAATACTTCAAACATTGAGTGACCTTTTAAATTCTGAATGACATGCGCACCCTTTTCCCGAACACATGGTGTCATCGCTGTCAGTGGTCCTTTCATATCATTTTCACAGCTCGTTTGCCCTTTATCCACTTGCATTGGAGTAGAACCATGTCATAACAAATCGATCTTCTGGATCTTCTACCTCACTCAATCCATGCCTCATTCGAGTCAAGGTGACCAGATGGTGTCATTACATTCTCATGACATTGTTACCATAAATAACCATTGCTGTGAAAATACAAAATCAAATCTTACCTCAATCAATCAATCAGTCAAGTTATGTAAATCTATCAAGCGTAGTACATTAATATCAAAGAAGTAAAATAAATTTGCAATATAACGTAATATTACAATTATAATATTTCTGTAATGAGGTAAAAAAAATCTCAAGTGAATATATTTCTCACATCCAAAAAAAGACATTAGTACAATCTCTATAAGGGGGGCACGGGTGGACCAGTCGTCTAAGGCGCCGCGATTCGCTGTGCAGAGTTGCGTCCCTTGGGCACGCCAGAAACCTATGATTGTGGGTTCGAATCCCGGTTCGCCCCGATTATGTTTCTAGGTTTGTCAGCACCATACCCGTGCTCGTGGGTTTCACTGAAGTGGTAAACGTCTGAGACCTGCATCACTTCGTCCTTTCTCCCACATTAAGCTGACACGCCGCTTTGTGTTTAAAAAATACGTCTAAAAGCTACCAATCTTAACACCTGCTTTTACAGATGTATGCATACTTTTTAACAGATTGTACATTTTACCATGGCTTCCCTTTTGTAAGAGTAAAAATAGCATTTTTTTCCTGTCAACATAATCAATCGCCTTTCTGAAATGAAATCTTACCTATCTATGTCAAGATGACATTTCTAAATAGGTTAAATACAAAACATCAACGCAAAGGAATGATCTGTCTCAATTATATGCCGAAAAAGACTCCATTGGGCGTAAAAGGCAAAATAGTGATACACATTATATGTTTGATTCACTGAAATCAGTGATGACAGCAAGTGTACGCCAATGTGCAAATGACGAACCAATTCGAACTTTTATTGCTATCTGTTTGTATGTTTTTGATTCACTGGATTTAATAAGTGGATTTAATGTCATATCAATCAAAAGATATCATTATTCTTGCAGATATTCTAAGAGCAGTCCCGAGGAAACCCTACCCTCGAATTGACCAAGAGAAAAAATGTCGCAAGGCTATGATATATCCTGATCTTGACACACTCAGGCCAATTCCTTGGGCAGAGGACGCGGTCAAAGTCGCTCAGATATTGTGCGAATCCCGGTGGAAGAAAGACAACTCTCCCCAAGAAGCATGCCCCCGATATGTCGCTAGAAAACAGCTGCAGAGATTGGAGCAACAAGGATATGCTTTCTTTTCTGGATATGAAATAGAATTTAATATACTGGAAAAAGAAACCCTGACCCCAATATTTGATTGTTGGAATATGTTCAGCCAAAGGATATTCAACAAACACAGCAAACTTCTATTTCATTTGACAAGAACTTTAAAGAATCAAACATTGATGTGGAAAGATACCATACTGAAGCGGGACCTGGGATGTTTGAAGCCATTTTGAAACCAAAATTTGGCATAGAATGCACGGATATGACCATGAACATAAAAGAAGGACTCATGGAAATGGCAGCAAATCTGGAACACCATGTAGTCACTTTCATGGCATATCCTCTCTCTGAGAAAAACCCGATAGGAACTAACATTCATCTAAATGTTTCACTTTGGAACAAAAATGGCGAGAGTTTGTTCTACGATGCGTCAGCTCCAGATAAACTGTCCGTCATCGCCAAATACTGGATTGCTGGTATGCTGAGGCACAGTAAAGCTCTATGTGCCCTCTGCAGGCCCACTGTCAACTGTTACAGGGCCGTCTACAAGCCTTTTTGTCCCTCAACTATATTCTGGGGAATAGAACATGGAGAAGCAACCATAAGAGTAAAGAATGAAAGTCCCTCTAAGACATACATAGAGAACAGGCTTCCGAGTGGCAAGTCCAACCCGTATCTTGTCGTGGCGTCCACAATCGCCGCTGGTCTGGATGGGGTCCTCAACAAACTAGAGTGCCCGCCCGCGGGAAGTGTCGACAACGCCGAGACTCTCCCCCACTCTCTGGAAGAAGCTCTGGAGGAGTTGGAAAAGGATGATGTACTCGTCAGCGCCCTTGGCAGTGAGCTCGTCACATGGTTTGTCAAGTGCAAGAGAGTTGGAGAGATCGACCTGTTCAAAGATGCTGAAACAGATGAGGAAAAGTTTGCAATGGAGAAAGAATGCCATCTTCTGTGAATTTGGGCTGAAAAAAGCAGCAGACTGAACCTCAAGTTAAAATTCTTGTTTTATCGACATTACTTGTATTTGCAGTCTGAAAGAAACTGCTTCTTTCGTAATTTGACATTTAATTATCGAGACCAATTAAAATGACAAGGTGAGTCCATTGGTTACACCAGAAACCTATGATTGTGGGTTCGAATCCAGGTTCGCACATATTATGTTTTTAGGTTTGTCAGCACAATACCCGTGCTCGTGGGTTTCACCGAAGTGGTAAACGTCTGAGACCTGCATCACTTTGGGTTTTCCTCCCACATTGAGCTGACACACCGTGATATAACTGGAAAACTGTTAAAAGCGGCGTTAAACCCAACTCACTCACTCATCCACTCAAAATTTGAGTGCAGGGCTGATTTTATCTTGTGCATATTATACCTAAGAAGAAGTACCGTACTGAGCAAACATTTAATAATTTGAGAAAGGATTGAAATATGATTCTGTTATTTTGTTTCGTTCTGCAGTAAACACAGTGTTTCATATACGTATTCAAAGAGTTTTAAGTATTTTGTTTGGTATTGTAAAAGATTTAATATACGCACTCAAATAAGTTTCGGTGTGTAAGGGCTCTTGACGTCATTGACAAGACAACTTAAACCTTATCTGTTTCCCTCAAATTGAAACAGAGCTGGTTGGAGTTGTAAAACAAACGACTTTAAGAGTTGGATTTGACTCTGCTTTGTTCAATATTTCAATGATTTCAGGGCGGATCAGACTAATGTAAGATATCCTCAGTCCTAAGTAATGCAGGTCGCACATGTCTACAAACATGATCATAATCGAGACCTGAATTATTCAAATTCACAATGAAAAATTAACCACTTTAATTTTCATGTTTGTTTGTTTGTTGTTTAACGTCGCACGCAGCAATATTCCAGCTATATGACGGCGGTCTGTAAATAATCGAGCCTCGACCAGACAATCCAGTGATTGATATCATGGAGCATCGACCCATGCAATTGGTATACGATGACATGCATCAACCAAGTCAGCGAGGCTGACCACCCGAATCCCTGATTCGCCACTTACGACGAGCATGGGTTGCTAAATACCAATTCAAACCCGGGTCTTCATGGATTAGTTTTGATGACTAAAACTGACATATACCTACACAAATTTGCATCGTTTCATTAATAAACATTTTTTACTAAACGTTTAACCTGAATGATAACAAGAAAACATAAATTGTTAATGCGACAAGAAAATAACCAGCCTAAGTTGTCCAGTGAAACAGATTCCATTTGGTATGTAGGCAAACTAGCAAAAGTCCATTTTGAAACCAGATGAAAACAATATAACGTTATGTCATTGACACATTTACAAGGGTCACAATATGGTAGAAATGTTACCGATACTTAAAAAGTGAGTCACTCTATCAACTGTGACATGCACCTTGTGTTCTTTGTTGAAAGCCGTGGTAACTGGAATAACTGTTTAAAACGTCGTTAAACCCAACTCACTCACTCACTCACTCACTCACTCACTCACTCACTCACTCACTCACTCACTCTTCTTTGTTGAACTGTTGGTTGAGTGAAACGAGTGACTGTAGGGTCGTATGTATCTTTAAGAAGTAGTTATTATTAAGACAGCCTGAAAACGGTTGCTAGAGGTTGACTGAATGGACAACCTACTCTGGCACGATGACTAACAATTACCAAAGTCACATTCATCCGCCTGATCCAACCTGTGCTTGTGCAGAGACTAATGAGATCGAGTGGTCAGGTTCGATGACTTGTTTGATGCATGTCATCCTTTCTTAATTGCGTAGATCGATGCTCATGATATCAATCACTGGATTTTCTGGTCGATATCCGAGTACTTACAGACAGCTATAATATTGCCGAGAGCGGCGTTTAACAACACACAAACAATGTCTGATACTCATCAAATGGCTAAGGGTCGGAGAGCGAAGTTGATTAATAGTAGTAATAAACCCTGTCATTGGTGAGAACAAAGCCGAAAACCTCCTTTTGTGGTTATAGGTTGGTTGGTTGGTTTGTTGCTTAACACCTCACTCAGCAATAGTCCTGCTATATGACGGCGGTTTGTAAATAATGGAGCCAGGACCAGAAATTCCAGTGATTAATATCATGAGCATCGATCCACCCAATTGGGATCGATGACATGTGTCAACCAAATCAGCGAGCCTGACCACCCGATCCCGTTAGTCGCCTCTTGTGAAGACCTTGCTGAAGACATATTCTACCCCGGATCTTCACGGGTCGATGTGTGCAAGAAGTCGATGGACAATGTTAAAAGTGCGAGTTTTGTATCATCGTCCACGAGAACAAAGGGTAGTGTTCAAACCATTTTTCAGATCCAATTCACAGTTTGCACTTATGTCTGGAGCTAGTGGAACATAATACAATATTTAACTGCATAACGTTTACTTGAAAGTTTAAGATGAAAATGAATAACGTATTTGTTCTTGCGCATGCAAAACAGTTTGAAATGGCTAATATTCTGTATCCTTACATAAAAACTGACATTCGTCAAGCCAGTATCAGTGCATCACAGATGACTTACACATTTGAGAACTTGTTTCTGGACCAGTGCCCATCCCGACTTGTTGTTGGATTTGCCAGTGGTGAAGGTGTGAATGAGTCATAAACCAAAGGCCCATTCAATTTCCTAGGATCCAACATTAAAACAGGGGGGTTGTATCTGTATCTGGACCAGGGTAAATCTTTTGAAAGTTACGGACATACAACAGTGTTTTAATACCAAGAATGTGTACATTTCATGTAAAAGCACTCATCAACATTTATATATAACACAAAAGTTCTTCAGCAGTCTATATCGAGTGTGTGTGGATTTTATTGTTTGTATTATATTATCACTTAGCAAAATAGTGTCAACCTTTACAGATGATAAGCTTCACAATGACCGTTATGTATCAAACTACATTTGTCGTTATTTAAAATACTGCTTCATTGATGTCATATACTTAATAAAAGTATTTCATCTTTTTGATTGTGAAGAATGACTGGGTTTTGTAAATTTGGAAGCAGGCTGTATCGTCGCATGCACCATTGCAAACATTCGATGACAATAAGCATAGTTTGTAACAATAACGCTCCTCCAACAAGTACTTATAAAGGAGTATAGGAGATCATCAAGTACACCTGCAAGTAATATAAACAACATTTTAACATAGGGAACAAATATGTAGATGTTACCTGTTACATTCACTGAAATCAATTATTTTGTTGAATCCATAAAGAGTATATTTTACATGAAGAAAAAAAGAATAAGTTGGATATCATTTAAATGTACTATGCAATCATTGTGTACTTGGTTATCAAAAGTCTGTGTTCTATTTCTGTGAATTTCAGTACGATTTTTCGTTCGTCTAAAGTAAAGAATACTTGAGAAATCAATACTAACTATAACAAGAATTATATTCGATATTGGTAAAAGTTGTTTTAACAATATTATCAGCTGTCAGTGGTGAGAATGATGGTGGTGGTGGTTGCTGATGCGGCTTAAAGCAACATTTACTCACTCACCTTGTGGATGTAGTGGTAGTGGTCATCCTACTGGAAGGACGTCTTGCTCTTGTGACGGTGGTAGTGGTCGGTCCATTTGACGGATGTCTTGGGGTAGCGGTAGTGGTAATTTTTTCTTCTTGTCAATCAAAGCCTTAACCTCGATAAAAAGAGCTTTTGTAGCACCCTGTACTCACTTCGTCCAGAGAACACGATTGTGTTCATCAACCTATCGAGAGAGAAAAAGAAGACATGACGTCCAACAGAGTTAAATATTGGTTCAACGACATAATCGATGTCACATTATTCGACCAACGTGTGTAAAAAACGAAATTTAGATGGAACTGAACAGGCAGGCAGTTTGACTCCCGGTGCATTTCTTTCTCTCGTGGAACGAAGAGATGAGGTGTTGAATATTGTTGAAGATTTACTCTTTGTGAGTGCCGTAGCCACCTCCACCTCCACCTCCACCTCCACCTCCACCTCCACCTCCACGACCAGTAACTACCGTGATGGGACATGCTGTGACTTAGTCAAAGTTATTTCACCCTTACCAACGTACGTATAAGTTTGGTCTAAATAGTTTTGTCATCTATGTCTTGTAACGGTTTACATATGGTGTTCTATAGAAAATATGTGTATGTATATGCAATAAATAATATTTTATACAATTCAATTCAATTCAGTTTATTTTCGTAAGTGTAGGCCATCGGCCCATAGTTACATTTGTATTACAATGGACGTGACAATAATGTACTACGAAGTGACATCGCTTGATAGATATAAATAGCTAGACGTTCAATTAATTTACAATCAGTTGTAGACATAATGTTATTAAATTTTTGTTTGGTCGAATATTCACAAAATTCTTGTGGTAAGTGGTCCACGCGTAGCTTGTTATAACCGGAGCAAACTAACAAGAAATGATACTCGTCCTCCACATACCCAGCATTACAAACACAACATTGTCTTCTGTTACGTGGGATATCAGCGTATTACTGTTGTTGTTGTTTCGTTTGTCATAGTCTACAGTAGACATATGACATACTTTATGTACATTTGCCTTTCCAAATCCTTCTGCAATCATTATTTTAAAGTCATTGTCTTTTTTCTTTCTTTGATTTTCTCTGATAGAACCACGGCCCATAACACCAGCACCAGGACGGACTAGTCCAGTGCCGTTTACCGTTGCACCAATCCCATGGCATGGAGTGACAGCTCCATACCCAGCCTGCCCCCACTGGATGGCAGTCGATTCCGCCTGTGATGTGGATGCCCTTTCTACGTCTGCTTCTACTGCTACTGCTACTGCTACAGCGACCACCGTGTATCGTCCACACTCTCCGGACTATCCCACTCCACCAGTGAGAGGGGAGCTACCGCCATCTTATGAAGAGAGTGTGCGTGTGGCTACACTCGAGAACTAGAAATGCTGTTGTTTTTTTTTACTAAAATGTCGTTATATTTTCACTTTTTAGTTTGCTATGTTTTATTTTCAACTATACATATTGGAAACGAAAGACCAAGCTGTAGCATTTTCTGTCTATTGCTTATTGCAAACTTTGCCTTAAACACAAATTGGACACAAATTATGATAGTCACAAACAGTGACTATCATAGCAAAAGGAGTAACAAACGAGGTATTTTTTACTGTGTGTCTAGTCACAATATACTTATCAAAGGGTGTCGTGAGAGAAGGGACGAACCCAATGACACTGTGTGCACTGTGAACTCTTACGGGTCGGACACGTATTCAGGCTAACAGTCTAGAAATTGGCGTTTTATGGCAACGTAGACACGTTTCCAGGCTAACAGTCTAGACATTGGCGTTTTATTGCAACGTAGACACGTATCTAGGCTAACAGTCTAGGCATTGGCGTTTTATCGCAACATAGACACGTATCTAGGCTAACAGTCTAGGCATTGGGGTTTAGTCGCAACGTAGACAAGTATCTAGGCTAACAGTCTAGGCATTGGAGTTTTATCGCAACATAGACACGTATCTAGGCTAACAGTCTAGGCATTGGGGTTTTGTCGCAACGTAGACACGTATCTAGACTAACAGTCTAGACGCTTTTATCGCAACGAAGTTGGAGTTATTCACCCTCATGTCGTTTACATTGGGATCAGTTTTGTCTGTGATAGAAAAGGAAGATAATAGACACATATTTACGTAACTGCTTTGTCTCCTCATCAGCTTACCGCTGGGGTTTTCGTCTTCTTCGTGTACGAAGCTTTTGTTTAATAAATATCTGTGTAATGACACTGGGTATACACATTCCCGACATTCTATAGTAGACTTGATACGCCATAGCATTGCAGACATTCCTGACATTCTACAACACTCCATAATAGACCAGACGTGCCATACCATTCCAGACATTCCATAATAGACCAGACGCGCCATACCATTCCAGACATCCCATAATAGACCAGACGTGGCATACCATTCCAGAC